CACAAGCAGGGGGAGTGGGAGAGAGAGAAGCAGGCCTCCCACTGAGCAGGGAGCCCAATGCGGGACTCTATCCCAGGACCCTGGGATCGTGACCTGAGCAGAAGGCAGCAGCTTAACGACTGAGCCACCCAGGTGCCCCAAAAGACCTGTTCTAATTCTGTCTAGATTTTACTGCATTCAGAAGTTTAATCATGTAATTGGCAGTTTTCTAAATTAAAAACTTTACAGAAATACTAACTGGTAAATAATTATAACAAGAGATTTGAGTTAAAAATACATAAATGTTAAACCTTGTCAAATTATACAATTTATTTTTACTTCATGACAGTGATAGCTCAATAAAACTAAAAAAAAGAGGCAAAATAAAGACTTTGTCAGACATTCAAAAACTGAGGGAATTAATAATCAGCAGATCACTACTACAAGAAATGCTAAGAGAATTACACCAGACAGAAGGAAAACACTAGATGGAAAATTGGAACTACACAAAGCAATGAAGAATACCAAAACAGCTAAACTTGTGGGCAAACATAAAAGACTTTTTACTATATTTTTAAAATATAATTGAAGGTTAGCAAAAACAATGATTTACTGTGGGGTTTATAGCTCGTATAAAATTAATACACGACCAACAGTAGCACAGAGGCCAAGAAGGAGAAATGGAAGTATACTGCTGGGACATGGTATAATATCACCTGAGAGCAGACTGTGACTGACTGAAGATGTGCTCTATAATCCCCAGAGTAACCACAAAAAAATAAAACGAAGTGGTATAGCCACAAAACTAATTAAAAAAGATAAAAAGGAATCATAAAAATAATCCAAAAGAGGAAAGAGGGAACAAACAGGAGATAAACAGAAAATAAATAGCAACCTGGTAGATTTAAACCCAACCATACCAATAATCACATTAAACATCATTACAAATTAAATGAAAATATCTAATTAACAGGCAGATTGTCAGAGAAAAAGCAAGACCTAACTATAAGCTAACTACAAGAAGCCCAGAGATAGGTTCAAAAGGATAGAAAATGATATACCATGCTAAGGCTAAACCAAAGGCAAGCTAGAGTGGCTAGATGAACAGTATGGTTTTGATTTTATTTTCTTTTCTGCTGACACTGGCTTGCTATTAGCATACAGACTGACCTTGGTCTAGCGGATGGGAGTTGGAATGGATGGGATGGGCCCATCAGGTGTTCCTCCAAGCCAGTTTAGAGGAAACACCACCCTGGATGAGGCAGGGCAGAAGGGCTGGGAGGAGTGCACCAGCACACGGCAGGGCAGTGACGTCACTTGGGCACAGAGGGACAAGGTGGTGAGCCTGGAGCCTCCCACTCCGCCACTTGTCTCCCACTTCTCCAAGAGCACCACAGTGGGCGGGAATACAGAGTGTCTAAGTTCCAGGCATTGTCCTTGGTGAGGGGGCTGCCTGGGTCACACCTGGCTGACAGCACACGGCTCACAGGAAGGCCAGGTGGAAGAGGGTACTCAGCCTGGTAGTGGACAGTGTGGGATAGAGCAGGCCAGGACCAACACTGTTGCTTTCAAAGCAAAGTATTTTACTACGGAAGTGGGGTCATTTCATAATGGTAAAGGGACCAATTCAACAGGAAGCCGTAACAATCCGTAATGGTTATGTATCATTAAAGTCACAGCTTCTTGATAAAGAACTTCAAAATATACAAAGAAAAACAGAACTGAAAGGTGAGATAGACAATCTACAATCAACAACTTCAACATTCTCTCAATAATTGAGTCAACCAGATGGAAATCAGTCAGGGCACAGAAGACCTGGACAACAGACTTCAACATTCTCTCAATAACTGAATCAACTAGATGGAAATCAGTCAGGGCACTGAAGACCTGGACAACACTATCAACCACACTGACCTAAATTACATTAGAAAATACTCCACCCCACACAGCAGAATACACATTCTTCTCATATGCACAGGGAACATTTGCCAAGCAGACCATATTCTCCACCAAAATGAATTCCAAATTATCCAAGTAAGAGTTTGATCTGTAGTGGGAGGGAAAAGTGGATCCCAGAGCCCTGAGCAGCCCTGCTCCTGCCACCATCACCACAGCCCTGAACAACAAGGCCAAGACCCTCAGCTGCCTCAACCTCCAGCACTCCGGACAACAAGCCCAGACCATTTTAACCATGGGTATTATTTTCCCATTATCTAATTATGATCACATTACAGTTCAGAAATCTCAAACTAGGGGCACCTGGATGGCTCAGTCAGTTAAGCGTCTACCTTTAGCTCAGGTCATGATCCTGGGGTCCTGGGATCGGCCTCCGAGTTGGGCTCTCTGCTCGGCAGGAGCCTGCTTTTCCCTCTCCCTGCCACTCCCCCTGCTTGTACTCTCCCTCTCTCTCTCTCTGTCAAATAAATAAATAAAATCTCAAAGAAAATAAAAAGAAATCTCAAACTACTTCAAGTTGTTTCTAATTTCCTAACCCCACGCTGTAATCTCCTAGCTTTTAGGACTGATGGTCTGAAGCCCCAAAATTCGGCTTCTGGTCTTGTTTTTAGTAAGTGAAAGACAAGGGACTAAATCACAGCTGATAGTCTAATTCTGATTCAACCAGACTGCAATACTGAGTGCCCCCCCCCCAAAAAAATTACCTTT